CAAACATTTATTAAGCACCTACCATGTGCTCCATGCTTTTTGCTGGAAATACCAACAATAGAATTCAAAATATGCTCTTAGAAAAATTCACAGAGAAAACCATAATTTCACATGCTTTATATGATAATACAAATACACCCCACATCCTTTGAGATCTATAAGACAAACATAGAGAGGGGAAGGAATTGAGAGGAGTGACCAGAGTAGGAGGAAAAGGAAGGGGGAAGGAAGGTCACCGGACTCAAAGAGCAGCACCTTGACAAACTCAGATATCAGAGTTCTGGTTGACAAGTCGGTGATGAGTCTAAGGTGAGTCTTTTGCTGTCACTGAAACATGCATCTGGTTGTGACAGGCCCTTGCTTTGTCGTGGAACACCAACCTGAGGCAATAACAAGTTTAGTACTATTGCCTCTGGAGCCCAGGTTCATCTGAGTGCCTCTAGATCATGCATCTCTCCAATATCCAAGCTTAGTTCATTCAAAAGACCAATATCTCTGTAGCTCCTTTACCACTAAGACACACAAGAGGGATTAAATCAGCCTTTCTTCAGGGCTACTTGGTGTGTCTACTTCTATCTGACCAAACTCTCATTTCTGATATCTCTCTCTCTCTGTCCCTCTCTCCCTCTCCCTCTCTCTATCTCTATTTCTATCTCTATGTGTCTCTGCCTTTCTCTCTCTTCCCTTCCCCTACCCTCTCTTCTCCACACCACCCTTTCATATCTCCATTTAGTCCCCCCACTCACCCTCATAAAATTTCCTCCAGTATCTTCTTGCCTCAGTTACTCATGGCATTCTCTTCAGCCTGGTTATTGAGAGCTCCAGAAAAAGAAGAAGGAAATATGTCCCCCCAATTCCAATCTCACCCCCTTCTCAGTGCAAACTGCAGTTCTCCTAAATTCTTTACTAATACTGAAGTCACATTACCTGAATTTTAATTCCAGACCTACCTTTACCTGTAAAACCTTCAGAAAGCTATTTAACCTCTGTGCCTCAGTTTCTTCATCTGTAAAATGGGGATAATCACAGTATCTTCTAATGCTGTTTAATGATTAAATGAATTAATACATATAAAGTCTTAGAATACCTGTTATATATTGAGTGGTAAGTATTATTATCTCTTATGAAGTAAGAACACTTAAAAAATACTCATTATATTCATTAACATTTCTCAGGAAAAAAATCCATATCTTTGGAGGAAAGAACATTTTGCCAGTAGACGCAGTGTTAGATTAACTCTTTAGGTTAACTATCTCACCCCACCCCCCTGCTAGTACTGAGAAACACTTCACTGCTCCTGCCCAATGTGAGCCTCGCTGAGGTATAAGGCATGCCCACACCTTGGGATTCTCCCTACTATCAAGGCAGAAGGCACCGGCTTTGATGCTGCAGCTCACATTAAATCCTTTGTTCTCTCAGAGCTGATTCAAAAGGCCTTAAGATCACCATGAGGGTTTGTCGATCATACTAGTGTGTTTGGATTTCAATTTCAAGGCAGTGGGGATGCACCAAGATTCTTGAAGGAGGAAAATGGTGATCAAATTTCCATTTTTGGAAAAGAAATCTGGCAGCAATTTATGTAGCTGTATTGAATTGGAGGTAAGAGAAGCTGGAGGCAGGGAAACAATGCAGTGCGCTGGTAGGAGGGGGTATAGCTCAGGGGTAAGCATCTGACTGCGTACAGGGCACAGTTGAAATAGTACAGGTGTGAGATGCTGAGGCCTGGCCTCAAGCATGACAAAAAGAAAGATGGATTTCTTCTGAAGGAGACATGCTAAAATTTAGATATGTAAGGGAAAGGTAGCAAGTTTTTAGCTTAGACAACTGGGTAGATGACAGTCCATTAATTGAGATAAAGTATAGAAAAATCTAGAGGGTGAATAATGAGCCCCCCTGGGCCATGCTGAGTATGGGGTATCTCTGCACAGAGCACAACACACTGTTGAAAATATGGATCTGCCCCTTGGGAGATAAAGACCTAAGAGACATCACCATGCAGGGAGAGCCTAGGCCACCAAAATGGATGAGGTTGCCCAAGAGCAAAATATAAAGCAGAAAAGAAAAAGGACCAAGAATAAAGTCCTAAAATCCAAGGAGAATGAAGATCAAGTGCAAGCAAGAGAGGGCATGGTCAAGGAGGCAATAGGAGGACCAGAAAGAGTGGCGTCACAGATGCTAAGAGATGAGGGGCATTGAAACTCATTCAACCCTTAAAGCAGTGACCAAGAGCAGCTACACTTACAGAACATCTACTATATGCTAGACACTACTATGGCTGCCAGAAATATACTTGCAAAACAAAGAGGAAGAGTCCCTGACCTCATGGAATTATATTCTGGGGGATACAGAAAAAGAACAGGTAGGTAATGATACATGCTCTGAGAAAAACCTAAAGCAGGTAAGAGGATAGAAAGTGATGGCAAAGAGATGGGCAAAGGGGGTGCACTTTAGATAACAGTGTTCAGGGATGGCTTTGCTAAGAAGTGACACACACAGATATCAGAATGAAGACAGAGGGAGCCATGCAAATGTCTGGAGAATCATGTTCTAGGGGCAAAGCACCAACACATGCCAAGGCTGTGAGATAGACTGCCGTTTGCAGAACAGTAGTATGCCACTGTAGCTGTGGTGTGGAAGCAAGGGGGATGTAACAGGAAATGAGGCAAGAGGCTTGGCCCCAGGCCAACCCATGCAGGGTCTTGCTGAGAGGTCAAGTGTGATGACTGAGAAGATGCTATTGGATTTAACAATTAACAAGGCATTGATGACCACCGCGAGAGTAATTCAGTCAAGTGTTGTGGAAGGAAGCCAAATAGACTGCAGGAGTTGAGAAGTGGATTGCACAAGAGAAAGAAGAGATGGCTAGTACAAATTCTCCTTCCAGATATGTGTCAATGATGGAAAGTAGAAAAGGCAGGTGCTTGATTAGATTGCAGGGTTGAGAGAGGATAGGTAAACTACCGTGCCAAGAGTGTGAGAATTGGATACATGTGGGAGCCTAGGTAAGGTGGAGAAAAGAGACAAGGAGAAGAAGTGGCCTGGAACCAGAAAAGGGGTTGGGAGAGTGGTGGCCCACACCTACGACAGGTACAAAGACAGAAAGCCTGCAAGACAGCTTGAGAGGCTCTGCATCCAGTGAGGGTCAGCGCAGGACCCTGGGGAGTGGAGGGAGGTGGGTCAGGCTAGAGAGGACACCAGAAGGTAAATGGGAAAAGACAAGAGAGAAATAAGAGTCACTAAGCAAGCTGATGCCCACACACAAGTGTCAACCCCTAGTGAAAGGAAATTGGTGGTTAAGAGGAAAATCCACGCTGTACAATCTCTATTCACAGCCAATTCAATTCATATACAAGTTGTCTATATCCAACTATTTCCTTTGTGTCTGAAGTTCTGGTAAAGCATCTGCCATGTATGCTTGACTGACGAATATTTAAAATGGAACGTATTTCAATTTCAGTTATTGGGGTGCTATAGAGTAGTGACCAAGAATATTATCTCTGGCACCAGACTGCTTGGGTTTGAACCCCTCCTCTGACAGTTACCAGCTCTGTGATCTTAAACAAGTTATTTAACCTCTATGACTCATTTTTCTCAACCATAAAATGGAAATAATACTCATACATACCCTCACAGAGTTATTATGAACGTTTATAAATCACTTAGAACAGGGTCTGTAAATGAACACCATATAAATATTTATTAAAAAATAAAATTAGCGGTCAGGCAAGGTGGCTCACACCTGTAATCCCAGCATTTTGGGAGGCCGATCCAGGTGGATCACTCGAGCCTAGGAGTTCAAGACCAGCCTGGGCAACATGGTGAACCCTGTCTCTACAAAAAATATAAAAATTAGCCTGGTGGTGTGGCATGTGCCTGTAGTCCCAGCTGCTTAGGAGGCTGAGGTAGGAGGATCGCTTGAGCCTGGGGAGACAGAGGTTGCAGTGAGGTGAGACTGCATCCCTGCACTCCAGCCTGGATGACAGAGAGAAACTCTTTCTCAATGCAAAAGTAAATAAATAAATAATATAAAATTAGCTTTTGAGCAACACTATGGCTAATCATTACACATAAATTAGCCTAATCCTCGCTAAAAAAAAAAAAAAAAAAAAAACTATAAGATGGGCTATTGTTCTCATTTCACAAATGAGACAGGATAGCTAAGTGACTCCTGTCATCCGAAAGTCTGTGTCCTCCCAAAATCCATGTTTTGAAACCTGATCCCCATTAGGTTTTAAGAGATTAGGCCTTTTAGAGTTGATTGAGTCATGGAGGTAAAGCCCTCATAAATGGGATTGGTGCCCTTATAAAAGACCCCGGAGGACTGCCTTGCCCTTTTTTACCGTGTAGCGACACAGCGAGAAGGCACTATCTGTGAAGAACAAGCCCTCACCAGACACTGAATCTCATGGTACATTGATCTTGAACTTCCCAGCCTCCAGAACCATAAGAAATAAATGTCTGTTGGTTATAAGCCACCCAATTTATGGTATTTTGTTATAGCAGCCTGAATGAACTACAAAAGTGACTTCTCCAAGATCACACAGCAAGGAAGAATAAGAACTGGGATTTGAACTCTGTTTACCTGACCCTAAAGCATGTGCTCCTTTCACTAAATTGCTGCAAAGGTTTTCCCTTGCAAAAGTTACATTTACGTGATAATTTCCAGGTATAGAATATCACGTATGTACTTAATGGTATTCTTTTTTGAGTGGTTTGTGTGGTGTGCTTTCCATTGTTGTGTGGTGTGGATGGAATCCCCGGCAATGGAATCCAAATCATCTCATACCACATCCACACATGCATGCACACACACACCCACACACACAAACATACACACTCCAAGCTGAACACTGAATCACACCCCAAGTTTTGAGGTTAAGTTTAAAGTATATTTATTTTGGTTTGGTTGTTTTCAACCTTTAATGACATTTGATACATTAACTTTCTGCCACCCTGAAGTATTCTGAAAATGTCAACTGAAATGATTGATTTGCACTCACCTTTTAGAAGGTTGCTCAAGCCCTACCACGAAACGTAGATGGCTTATTAAAGAAAAATGAGCCATTTCCTTTATCTGTCTTAGGGTTCCCCCCGTAAACAGCACAGGACATTTCCATTCCGGATCCCTTGCTGAGCTGCAGCCTGCAGCTGCAGTCTCGGGCTTCCTAAATTCCAGTCCAGACTGCTCTGTGATGATGTTATAACAGATCTGCAGCAAAATAAGAAAAAAATAAAATAAAAATAGTCACATGAATTCACCCCCAGAAACATCTGAGTATGTTTGCTGAGATTTCTATTTTTGGAAAGAATCATCTTATTAGAGATACACGATCATATGATGCTCAAGATCCCACATCGTACATTCCAGAGCCTGTCTTGTGGATTCAATTCCCAGCCTTACCATCTATCAGCAGGTGATCCTCGTCAGCTTCTCATCTCAGTGCCCAATTTCTTCTCCTATAAAATTAAGGTGTTAGTGTCCACCTTTTAGTCTTTTCGTGAGGATTAATAGAGTTTATGCATATAAAGCATTTGGAACATGCCTAGCACATAACACTCAAAACACATAACCCATTGGTATCATTATGGCATGTTGTTCTTTCTACTTTTTTGGTTTTAGAAATATCCTTTACTTTTATATATAATATCACTAGTTCATGGTTGTTACAGAGGTTGATTTTGTTTTTGGTATGTTTAGGTGTTGGTTGTTTTAATATTCCTACTTGGTACAATTAAAAGGTTTAAACAATGTCACTAGCACATGGTGGTTGTTGATTCTTGTTCATTTTGTCAATTGTTGTTTTAATATACTTATTTGACAAAAGAAAAAGTTTGCAAACCTATGTCATCTTCAAATTATGTTTTAGTGTTTACTAGCCTATGAATCCTTTAAATTTGGGCATCACTATTCATCCTTAGAAATTCTCTCAATAAAATAGCTGCACTACTAGTTCTTGTGCAGCCATGAATTGTATCCAATTTTAATCCATCCATTTTAATCCAACCACATGGGATAAAGGAATACAATACAGACAGGCTAGTGTAACTCCTGGAACACTTTCACCAACCTATCTAATTAAAGGCTGCAGCAGTTATTCAGGCAAGGCAGAAAGACCGTGTTGGCTTAAGTAGTGAAACCAGGTTAATAATTTGAACATTTGAGGATGGAAGAAGGCAGTCTGTCCATTTGCTTTACACAATATCTCATGTAATTGGCCCAATATTTTTTCTTTTAAATGTGAAATAACATCAATATAGTCAGAATTTACTCTGCCTGCAAATATACAGAAAATCCTAAATTGAGTCTAAAACTTCTTAAAATCTCAGACTTCTGCAAATATATTGTTAGACCATTATATCTGTTATTGTGATAAGCCTGCTAAGCAGCATTTCTCGAAGTTCCTCAAAACAGTGTTCCATTACATAGTGCATTAGTTCCCAGGGCTGCATAACAAAGTACCACAAACTGAGTGGCTCCAACAACAGATATTTATTGGGTCACAGTTCTGGAGGCTAGAAGTCTAAGGTCAACGTGTCATCATGGCCATGCTCCCTCTGAAGGGTCTGTTCAGTCCTCTCTGGCAGCTTCCAGGAGTTTCTCGGCCTGTGGAAGCATAACTCCAATGTCCATATGGCATTCCTCTGTGTGCATTTGTCTCTGTGTCCAAATTTTCCCCTTCTCTAAGGATATCAGTCATCTGGATTAGTGGTTCAGCCTACTCTGGTGCGACTGTATCTGTACTAACTATATCTGCGATGATCCTATTTTTATGATTCTTTCAAATATTTGAAAGAATTTTTAAAGAATGTTTTCAAAAATTCGAAATAATAGAGAAAAGGATTCTAAGGCCGAAAAGTTTGCAAAACTTTGCCTATTCTATTCACTATCCACATCCAAAGGGCACATCAGCATCTTAAAAATATTGAGCCACTTACAATACAGATACTTAATACAATTAGAAAACCCAATGTTTCTCAAGTTTAGGTGACCGAGGAATCTATTTCCATAAGTGACACCCATTTTCATCCCTCTAGTGTTTCATGAAATAACCCTTAGAAAATACAACCAGATTTCAAACAGCCCAGTCGGAGAGCAGCCCAAGATTTAAACCCTGATCATTGTCTATAACAACAGTGAAAATAAATTTCAGGCAAGCCAGCAAGCCTATGACAGCCCATAACCCTCTCACCTCTTCTTGCCTCTTTGGGAGGAGAGTGGGAGTGTTACAAAGTCCTGAATAGAAGCTCTTCACTGCAATTATAACAGACTCAAAATCAAGTGGCAAAAACGAACACCATCATTAAGCGAGGAGGGGAAAAACATGACGCTGACATTCTGCCAAAGCTCTTTAAATGAGGTCATGCACTCGAGCGCACAGACTATTGCTGATAACTGGCAGCGCAGGAAGAATTGGTAGGAAACAATAGAGCATGCACGGCGTGGCTGTTTTATGAGTGGGAAGGAAAGTGAGGGTGGGGCGAGCACTGGAGCCGCCCTCGCTGCTGCCCATAGTCAAATTCACAGCTGGCTGACTTGGGCAAATGCATCGGCCCATTTCAGCGCCCAGGCACCCGCGGGCCAGAGCTCTGCTGCCACCCGGGCAGCCGCCGTGCTGTGGGTTGATGCTCTGCTAATCCCACTCCGCACATCCCCCTGCTTGACGGAACAGGAGAAAAGTCACTGTGCAGCGGCTGATATGCTTTCCTTTTCAAGTAGATGCTGCTTTATTGGACGCCAGACTTTGCGATTAACTTTCGCTTATTTTTTGCCGTATGCCTTTCCCAAAGCTGCTTTAGTTCCGGGTGCAAGCTGAGGGTCTGTGATTTCATTAATCCGGTACTTTCTGCTCTCAGTAGCCTGGTTCACCACCAGGTCTGAAATTGGCATTTTGCTTGTCTCCTTTGGCCTGGCTACAACAATTGCTGGCCTATTTGTCTTAACAGGCTCATTATCGATTTGGCCCACGGGCTCATCTCAGACACTGCACAGGCACCGTCTTCATTCAGACCTGATAGAAAAATATGCTAACTATGACAACACCTTTGGAGTCTTCCTTAGGCCTGATATGGAAGGGGGAAATGAACAATTGTAGTGCAGAGAAGAGGACAGCCAACCAGAGGCATTTAATTGGAAAGCAAACTCGCCTCAGGTATGTGAAGATGTGGGAAGTGATACCCGAATGTTGATGAGAAACAAATATTGAATAAATCATTGTAAAAGAGAAGAACACAAAATCTGTTTTGTTTTGCTTTGTTTTGTTTTTAAAGAAAACCCACTCAACTGAGCTCTTCCAGGTATACATAAAGAGGGATATGATCTCATATAGAAGGCAATAGGCATCCTCTGGTTAAAAATGAGGCTTTGAAAGCAAACTTCCAGCGCATTCAATTCCATCCTCTAAATCCCCAACATATCCACATGAAACAACTGCTAACCAGGTTAAATGATTAGCTGAGCAGGAGGATCAGAGATTGATATTCCAGTGCAACGTATCATGAAACCCAAGCCAGTAGTGTCTGTAACATAAGCCTGAGCTCCCATTTGGTCATTATTTGAAGTCATACAAGAAGATTCCTATTCTTCCCTTTTCCCACACTAAAGGACTCAAGTGCACACATACACGCACACACACACACACGTACATGCACACACACATGTACATGTACATACACACAGAAACATGGCTGAAGTTTCTGCTTCCTTATTTAGAAAAAAAAAAAAAGTAAAACCTCTGCTTTTAAGACCGTCTGTGAGAGGAGTCTATATGTTTACCTGCCTCCCCTCTCCATTCCATCTTAAGGGAGGGTATGGAATAAAATAAACTTGAAACACATTGGGGAAAATTGTGGGAAAATATTACTTGGTTCTTCTGGTGAGAAATTGAAACCCAAAAAGACTATTATATAAAATTCAGTTTTTCTTCAGTCAGCAACATATCATAAATTCTGCCTTAGAAACCAAACCAAAGGACTGCAGAAAGTTTGGAGATCTAGAAAGAAGACAAAACACCAGAGAGTGGTTAGTGATTCTCTCCAGGTGGTCTAGAGTTTTCTTTAAAGCCGCATCATTATGGCAGGCTCCCTGCAGGGCTTTCTCTAAGCAGCCCCTTCTAAATGCCCTGAGAGTCTAAACATGTTTTGAGTTCAATGAAGAATGAATTTCTGAGATGGAATATGCAACCTCTTTGGGATCTATGAACCAGAGGGTGATGCAGGATAGCATTTGATGTTAGGCATTAGAATTGCTGCAAGAGATGAAATAGGGTGGAATTCAACCTTGTTCCAGCAAAATTTGCAATATTTTGCAAAATTTTCACAAACAAAAAAAATCAAAGCATTTTCTTTCTAATTGCGTTTCTTTCTTTCCTACTCAAATGCTACCTAATTTTTGTTTCCACTAATAAACCACTTTAACAACAGTATAGATGTACCGAGATGATGAATTTCAATTCAAATACACTCTATTTTACTATTGAGACTAAAGGTAAGCCAGGCATGCTATGGACCCCTCTGGGCCCTTTCAGAAGAAAATATTCTCAACAAAGTGGTTCTTAATCTTGGCTGAACATTGGGATCACCTGGGAAGTATTTTTTAAATACTGTTGCCAGGATCCTCTCTCTTCAGAAATTTTGGTTCATAATTGGTCTGGGCTACAACATGGTTTTTAAATTTGCAACCAAGACAGAACCAGTGTAATAATAACCTATATTATTTGAGTTTGTCATTTTTCAGATGTGTTTCTCTGGTTCTGGCCCTTTGGAGATTCTCCACAGACATCTCTCCTAAACCTGTACTGATATCATCAGTCCAAGCCATAGCCCAGTGAATGGACCTGGTATCTTTTACAAGATGAACTAGGACAGCGCCCTCTACCTGCTGCCTGACCTCTCAGTCTCCCTGAATGCACCAGGCTATATCAGACAGATTGAAAACAGAAGGGTTTGGGTAATATCAGAAAAGAGTAACAAATCTAGAAAACAACAGGAGGTTCTACTAAATTGGATTTTTCTGAGCCTCAAAAGGAAGGTATCCCTTATGGATATTTTCCCCACTGTTTACCAGGGTTCCCAGCCATCATGTAGCAAACTTTTTCCACCAAAGGGCCTCTGTGTAAAGTCTCTCTGTAGAAATCTCTTGTTCCTAGGAAAATTCCTCTCCTTCCCACTCCCAGATTCTCCCCATCCCCACCTCATACACCGTTTTCCAAATTGGATTCCTGCCAGCTTAAGATACATCTGTATGTGTGTGCCAGATGAGCCTCCCAAGCCTCTCTACTTGCCAGGGGAGAAATGGGGTACAATCTCATATGCAAGGGTGGTCCTGGATCCTCCAATTGAGATTTTTTTTTCTGTAGCTCACCACTAGAGCTGTAGTCCTATCAGTGACTTCAACAAGAACGTCTTAATTAGGCAATTTATCCCAAGGATAGATTAATTGTTCCTCCTAATTACCTATGCACACCACTACAGTTCAGCTAGGGGTCTCAAACTTAAATGACCTCGGAGATCTGGGAGATAAGAAATGAGTTAATGGTCTCGATACAAGACAGTAGAGAATGTTGGGAACAGAAATCATTTAATACCATTTAATAATAAAAGCATAAAGTATAAAAAATAACTGTGGCATTCAAATAAAATACAGTTGAGGACCTAAGCCAGTCCACTGGCCCATTTTTGAACTCTAAATTCTTATTGAGAAAAAAATATTTTCATTCAACTTTCAAGGCATATGCCCTAGACTTAGAAGCAATAGGAGTCACTGCGGAGCTCATAAAGGGGTTTTGCTTGTTCCTGCCCCTTGAGGAGGTAGGTCCACCTAAATCAATGAAGGCCTATATTGGCATTAGTGGAGACATTCTGTCCTCCTGCCTACCTGTGCCATATGTACTCCTACTGCTACACTTTCCATCAAGCTGCTCCCTTTAGCCCTACCACCCTTCCCACCTCCCTACACCTGGCTAATGCCCATTTATGCCTCAAGA